TAGGTTCACCTGTTCAATTGCTTGGTAACACAAATTGCTAATCAGCCAATCACATGGCAGCAACTCAATGCATTTAGGCATCTAGACGTGGTGAAGACGACTTTCTGAAGTTCAAACCGAGCATCAGAATGGGGAAGAAAGGGGATTTAAGTTACTTTGATTGTGCCATGGTTGCTGGTGCCAGATGGGCTAGACTGAATATTTCAAAAACTGCTAATCTACTGAGATTTTCACGTACAACCATCTGTAGGGTTTACAGAGAATGGTCATAAAAAGAGAAAATATCCAGTGAGTGGCAGTTGTGTGGATGAAAATGCCTTGTTGATTTCAGAGGTCAGAGGAGAATGGGCAGACATTCAGGTGGTAGGGTCAGAAAGCCACAAACATAAACCACATGAAAGCATGGATCCATGCTGGCTTGTATCAACGGTTCAGGCTGGTGGTGTAGTGGTATGGGGGATATTTTCTTGGCACTAACAAGGTGTATCTAATAAAGTGGCTGGTGAGTGTATATACAAAACACTTTTAATAAATAAATGATCATTACCTTGTTCTGTGGATAGCTAAATCTCTTACAAAACTTGTTATTTTGGTAGTACGTTTTAAAAGGAATCGCTGATTTTTTTGTTTCATTTAAATTTATCCGGTTACAATAATTTTTTTGACAATGGTGTTGGACAACATTATGAGGGTCCATATACACTGTTGGGTGCATATTGCAGAACAATAATCAAAAGTGGGAAGCAGGTGGGTAGGTGTTTAACACCTTGTATTTTACTTTTACATAGCTGAAAGCTACAGTACATTTAGCGTTGCTGTTCCAAATGGCCACATTCACACTGAATGTAGCAGCTAATTACACATTTTCAACATGTTTCAAAATTTTTGACAGCTCATTCATACTTACTGTATAGCTGACTGCTCGTTATTGTGCTTTATTTTCATCAGCATTGTTAGGCCTCGTTAACACTGGTGGCTGTAAAAGCAGGTGGTTTATCCACATTTTTACTGTCTCCCCCACCACCCACTTAAACTGTGCAATGGTTGTAAGACATATTGCTGTGCCTGCAATGCTTTGTGGTGCGGCAAAAATGATATAGTATGTCACACTCCACAGGTGGTACAACTGACAAATGCAGCGTTGCTGCAGTATTTCAATAGAAACTTAAAAAAGAGCATTCAGGGTGCAATCCTGATGCCTGGCAGCCACTATTAACCATGGATCACTTTTTAGAGGGGCGATAGAGAGCGACGCCCATGTGAACAAAGTCTAAAAGAGGCTATCTAGAGCGTCTTTCAATGTGTATCTGTATATCTATGTGGTCACTGTGGGCTCCAATAGAAAAGGAACAGATTTATAATATAATTAAGTGCCTGTATATCCTATAAGAGTGTGGGGGGCAATGTGAAATAAACCGATGAACCCCTATCTTGCAGACATTGCATCCTCCACTGTAGCAGCACCTGCTGTGCAGATCTTGAACCTCTGCTAAGCTTTACCATCTAGTGCCCGGTATTTCTGAAATCTTTGGTGCCTACAACTAGAAGGGCATAGCTTGTAAAGGAACCCCTTCCCAGGAATACATTGTCCCAAGGGAATTTCACTTAAATATTCTTGCATCTATGAATGAATGCAGGTGGAAAATTGAAAGCAGTTTTAAACGCTTTATTTGAACTTGGTAGGTAGGATGGGAAAACAAAAAAGATGGAATACCCAAAATCACATAAGAGTTCAGCTCTTTGGTTAGCAGTGGCTTAGTAAGTCACAGCATGAAGAAGCATCACACGAAATTTTGGTGGACATAGCTCCACAACCAAGAGGTTCAAGTGTAACTCATTATGTATCACTGATGACTCTTAAGCTTGCTTGCCCTGCCCTAAATAGATAGCTGATACAACCTAGGCTCAGGCTCCAGCAACACAATTTGCACTATCAAACATCTTTAGCATATCTCCTCTTGGGGAAGTGCAGAATGACCCCTCAAGCACTGAGACAGGCTAACATTTCAGTCTCAGGTTATGGCCCTTTTTGTATGGTGGAGTGAAAATTGAGTTGGGTGCCAGTCAATGTAGTCTGTTTACCTATTATTGTTGAACTCAATTCTAGGAGAAAGGGTTTAAGGGTGCATGATAGACAAAACAAGCACAAATGGAGAAAAGGTACTCAGGAGTAACAATAATAGCAGAAGTGGGTTCTTTAAAGGCAATGAGAAAAGCCTTTTAGTAATTACTGGCCCTTTGAGACAAAATTTTCAGATCTATGACCCCATAAGAGCAGTCACACTCTTTAAGTTGTATTGGACCTCTATATAATAAATCTATGTCTTGCCCCTCTTGAGTGCAAAGGTACCTTGATCTATGGGAAATTAATCCTTATGGCCCGACAGCTCTCCTGAGACACCCTTCAGCAAAAAGATCCCTTTCCAGCTACAATTCCTCCAGTGGTCCACTCCAGCAGATAAGCTAAGTCCTTGGCTCCCTGCCACACTGATGCAAGACCCAAGTGAAAGGACACATCCTGCCCAGGCAGAGCCCAGGTGGAGACAGAGAATCTTCTGGAAAGGTGACCAAACTATTTATCATCTTACAAGCCATATCTTTGAACTGCAACCTCAGTGATTGGGTGGCTCAGGTACATATTTATAACTCAGGGGCAGACTTTCCCATACTGCTTACTGGAGCCGCCTTCACAGTAACAGGTGAAAAACAATCAAACCACTAAAGCCTGGTATGCACATTGAGTCTTCTTTTTTTCATTCTACCCAGTGGGCTTAACAAAAATAATTTAAAAAAAAAATGAGAGACCATTGTACTAACTAAGCGTTGTTTGTGTAGCAATCTCTCCCACTGTGCCTTTGTGTTTTGACAGGGGGACTCCCCTCCGGCCAGGACACACTAATCAGCGCTTGCAGACATTGGCTGCAAGAACCGATCGGATGCTGGTTTTCCATCATGTCCCTTTGAAAAAAGCCCGTCTGTAGTCCAAATTCTGTTGGAAGGACAGCTGTACACATGGGCTGAATGTTGGCCAGTTCAGCTCGGACCGTGTACCCAACTTGAGCCTAGGGAACACCTACATAGTCTAGAAAAGGTAAACAACAGCGCAACAGAATAGCAGCAACTAAAATTAGGAACACTACAGGAGGAAGGACTTCCTAAGGAATACCTTTCCCCAGAAGGAATGAGGGAAAATGGACTCTTCCAGAACATTGTATCCCTGCCTTGTTTACTAGGTTCAACCCACTAATGACAAGCTCATCAGAAGCCTTTTAATTGCCGTCTGTGTCTTAGCTTCGTAATTTCACCCACTTTTTTTGTGATTATTGTGACTGAAACAGAAAGTGAGGGTAGATTTACAATTTTACAGTTGTCACCAGAACAAGTGGTGAGGACAATCCATCGTTGGTTAAAGTAACGCAGCGTTGTAATGCAAAAAATGGCCTGGTCAGGAAGGAGGATAAATCCTCAGGAGGTCAAGTGGTTAAAGTCTTTTTTTTTTTTTTTAAATAACAAACATGTCATACTTACTGCTCTGTGTAATGGTTTTGCACAGAGCAGCCCCGATCCTCCTCTACTTGGGTCCCCTGCTGGTGCTCCTGGCCCCTCCCTCCTGCTCAGTGCCCCCAGAGCAAGCTGCTTGCTCTGGGGGCCCTCAAGCAGGCATGCCCCAGGAGCTGCGGCTCTGTACGTCCATTCACACACAGAGTCGCAATTCACCCTGATCAGCTAAAAAGGTGATGGCTATACATACACTTTGGGGGAGTAAAACTGGTGCAAGCTGGTTAGGTCACACCTGCGCCAGATTCTAACTTCAGCTCAATTAAGCTTTGGCTAAGCTGAAAAGTTGTACCAGATTTTGCACTTTCCAGTTTTAGTAAATAACCCCCTTTAACCTCCTTGGCGGTATTCCCGAGTGTAGCTCGGGGGTACACTTTGGGGGTAACCCCGAGACTCGGGAATACCATACTTCACTTACCTTACCCTGCGCTCCCAATGTGTCCCCTGCAGCGTGCCATCTCCTCCGGCCGAATCCGGCTTCTGTCCTGTCCCTGTGACGTCGGGGTACGGGCGCCGCCGCCGGAGGCGGCGGGAAATTTAATAATTTAAAAAAATGTCATTTTTTTTTTTTCATTTTACACAGCTGCGCCACCTATTCTACATACTTCATTTTGTCTGTTCTTTTTCTGAGAAATGTCCATTCCAAAAAGTGCTTTAGGTCAAAAGCGGGTTTAGATCATAGAAACCGATAGTAAATGTAATTGCTGATCGTGGGGGTTTCTATAAAGAGTTGTACCAGATTTTGCACTTTCCATTATTTATTAAATTATTTTAGTAAATAACCCCCTTTAAGTCATATATTTAGTACCGCTTTCCTATCATAGTTGACTGCAGTAAGGTTTCACTTTCTGACATACCACTGTGTCTATTTGAGCATTGTGTACATTCAATAAATCAATATATCCTTTGTTAATGTTTTATCTGTCTTTGTACCTAAATGACAGGTCTTAACCAATTTACAGCTTTGCGGTCCTATCTTTATTATTTTATTGCAACCTTGGCGTAAGAATGTGTTCTGCAGCTGCATAGGGGAGAAGGACTCTAAAGGTAGGTCTATCAATTCTCCCAAACAGCAGGGCTATGAGAATGTTTATTAGATGGATTTACTATGTCATTTCAATTAATTCCCACTCTGCTGCTCCAAAGTAGCACAATGCCAAAATCAAAAACATGACCTAATTGTTTTGATTGGAAAACACAAATTTTATCAAAGATTCCAACAAAACTGCAGGCGCAATATTTGCAAATACACACAAAACTGTCAGATATTTTTTGCTAAATGCAGCATGATTTGCACTAATTATGCTCCAGATTCTGTTGGTAACTTGAATGATAAACGTCCCTCACTGGGCCAGATTTACTAAAGAAAATGAATAAGAGCAGGGTAAATCTATATGGTATACTTGCATTTTGGGCATGAATGGTTGCACAGATGTACATGCCAGGGGCGGACTGACCATTTGGAAACGGGCACTGCCCGAGGGCCCGGGGTCATTAGGGGCCCCACAAGATGCCCCTGGTACCTTTTTTCTTAGGCTTTTTTGAGTTTGGGCAAGGACACAGGGGCCCCATGATCCCCTATTGCCCGGGGGCCCCATGAGTTGTCAGTCCGCCCCTGGTACATGCACATAGTAAACACAGTCCCTCAACCTATTTAGCATATTGTACACTGATGTTCAATGCTTATAGGGTGCACCTAGTCTTCCATACATGTTGCACAAATACTGATGCTTTTCTGCTTTCTTTTCTGATAAGGTGCATTAAGGAATGCACATGTCAACAATGTATGTTAAGAAAAATACAAACAAGCTATTGTGACAAGCACAACAATTATAGTGCAATAAAGTGCACATTCAACAAGCAAAGCATCATATTATTATTATTACACAGGATTTATATAGCGCAAACAGTTTGCACAGCGCTTTACAATATAACGGGAGACAATACAGCAACAATACAAAAAGGGTCCTCGGAGCTTACAATCTAAGAGATCACATAAACCTGTACTTCATGCTGTCAGAGCAAAGAAAAAAAAAAAAAGCAGATGAGGTATTGGTATTCATGGCTGGTATCACCATTCCAAGCAGCAGCATATAAAATCATGTACACAATACAAACGTAGCAGTAAGTACAACCATATAAATATACTACATTTGTGCTGTGTGTATTTTACATTTTCCAAATTTTCTTTAATTGGATAACATTTGGAAACTCATCATTCAACTGGGGTTGATTTACTAAAACTGGAGAGTGAGAAATCAGGTGCAGATGTTCATGGTAACCAATTAGCTTCTATCGTCAGCTTGTTCAATTAAAGTGGTTCTAAAGACTGAAGGTTTTTTTACCTTCATACATGAAAATAAAAACCTTCTGTGCGCAGCAGTCGCCCCACCCCCCTAATTCGTACATGAGCCCCCTCTCAAGCCAGCGATGTCCACGAGAGCCTCGACTCTCTGAGGACTCTCACTCCTGATTGGCTGAAGCAGCAGTGGGAGCCTTTGGCTGTCAATCACAGCCAGTGAGCCAATCAGGAAAGGGAGGGGTGGGGCCAAGCTGCGACTCTATGTGTGAATGGACATACAGAGCCGCAGCTTCGGGGCATGCCTGCTTGAGGGCCTCCAGAGCAAGCAGCTTGCTCTGGGGGCACTGAGCAGGAGGGAGGGGCCAGGAGCACCAGCAGGGGACCCAAGTAGAGGAGGATCGGGGCTGCTCTGTGCAAAACCATTACACAGAACAGTAAGTATGACATGTTTGTTATTTAAAAAAAAAAAAGACTTTAACCACTTGACCTCCTAAGGATTTACCCTCCTTCCTGACCAGGCCATGTTTTGCATTACAACGCTGCGTTACTTTAACTGACAACTGCGTAGTCATGCAACACTGCACCCAAATTAAATTTATGTCCTTCTTTTCCCACAAATTGAGCTTTCTTTTGGTGGTATTTGATCGCCTGTGCGTTTTTTATTTTTTGTGCTATAAAGAAAAAAAAAAAAGACCGACAATTTTGAGAAAACAAAATATTTTTGCCTTTTTGTTATTAAACATGTCCAGTAAAAAAATGTTAAAAATCTAATTTTGTCATAAATTTAGGCCAAAATGTGTTCTGCTGCATGTCCCAATACGTGTAAATTAAATGGTTTACGTGAAAGTTTTAGCATTTACAAATGGCAGTATAGATACTGGAGTGTTTTTCTTTTCAATTTTTATTAGTAATGGCGGCGATCAGCGACTTATAGCGGGACTGCGGCAAGCATTCTGACACTGGGGGGAACTGACTTGGTGTCACTGACATCCCCAGTGACACCAATACAGTGATCAGTGCTTAAAAAAGCACTGACACTGTACTAATAGCATTGGACAGGAAGGGGTTAACATGAGGGACGATCAAAGGGTTAACTGTGTGCTGTTTTTCTTTGGGCTGTGTGTCTGTGCTTCACTGTAATCACACTGCTTTGGATGGCTGTGCTGGGCACAGCCATCTAAAGCAGTGTGCACGAGCTGAGGAAGGAGAACAGTATTGTTTATATACAGTTCTCCTCCCCATCGAAGATCCTCGGCAATCCCCGGGTGCTGGCGAGTAATCACTGGCCGGGACCCGATGATTGACAACCGCAGCCGTGAATGGCGGCGTGGCTAGGGCGTGCGCCATCTACCTTGAAATGCAAAATCATGTATATATATGTAATTATTATTATTATTATACAGGATTTATATAGCGCCAACGGTTTGCTCAGCGTTTTACATTATAGTGGGAGACAATACAGTAACAATACAGTTCTATACAAGAGGGATTTGAGGGCCCTGCGCTCCTTGGAGCTTACAATCTAGGAGGGAGGGGTGAATGGTACAGTAGGTAGTCACTGTGGGGGATGGAGTGGTTGGAAATGTAGAGGATTCCAGAATTAGCTGAGGGCAGGATAGGCTTCCCTGAAGAGAAAGGTTTTCAGTGATCGCCGAAAGGCAGGTAGAGTAGGTGATAATCTGATAGATTAGGGTAGGGAGTTCCAGAGGATGGGTGACGCCCTGGAGAAGTCTTGGAGACGAGCATGGGAGGAGGAGATGAGGGACCTAGAGAGTAAGAGGTCTTGCAAGGAGCTGAGTGTACGGTTTTGGTGATATTTAGAGATAAGATCGGTTATGTGAGTTGTGGCAGTGTTGTGGATGGCTTTATATGTAATTGTTAGAGTTTTGAATTTTATCCGTTGGCTAACTGGGAGCCAGTGGAGGGATTGGCAGAGAGGGGAGGTGGATACGGAACGGTTAGTGAGGTGGATGAGTCTGGCAGCAGCATTCATGATAGACTGAAGAGGGGATAGCTTGCGATGAGGTAGGCCAATGAGGAGGGAGTTACAATAGTCGAGGCGAAATATAACAAGGGAGTGAATAAGTTGCTTAGTGGTTTCCGGGGTTAGGAACGGTCGTATCTTGGAGATGTTGCGGAGGTGAAGTCTACATGATTTAATTATGTGCACCCATGCTGCCCTGTAGTAGTATATCTGCTATAGGGTGGTCAGGAAGTGGTTAATTTCACTTTAAGCTTTGATAAAAAAAATAACTGGAAGCTGATTGGTGTAGCTATGCATTTTGCACTCTCCAGTTTTAGTAAATCAGCCGCCGTGAGTTTAAAACTGAAATGTAGGAATGAAGCATCTTCGCACAATGTGCTAGCATACTATAGGGAGATTAGCTAAAACTGATGCACTCAGAACCTGGTGAGCTGTGTATGGTAGTCAACCAGCTTCTAACTTCAGCTTGTGCAGTTAAGCTTTGACAATAAGACCTGGAAGCTGACTGTTTTTTTATGCAGAGCCGCATCAAATTTTGAACCCTCCAGGTTTAGTAAGTAACCTATGAGTGGTTGTAAAGGTAGAAGGTTGTTTTTACCTTAACTCATTCTATGCATTAAGGTAAAAAAAAACCCCTTCTTTGTCTTGCTCTCCAATTCTCTCTCTCCTCACTGGACATGGAGGCAGCAGCAGGAGCCATGCTGCTGTCAATCAAAGCCTGTGAGAAGAGAGCAAAGGGCAGGGGTGAGCTGCACTCTGTGTCTATGGATGCTGTATGTGTCTAGGGCACTTGGTAGGGGGGGAGAAACCAGAAGTAGCAGACCCCAGAAGAGGAGGATTGGGGCTGCTTTTTGCAAAACCATTGCAAGAGCAGGCAAATATTACATGTTTGTTATAAAAAAATAATAGGTTTATAATCACTTTAAGTCTAAAGAAATGAATGCCACATGTAGACTTACTATATCTCTTTTATTTACATCTGCAATTTTATGGCACTCTCCCCTCTGCTGTTCATTCATAGTTACATACAGGTAAAACGTGAAAAATTAGAATATCGTGCAAAAGTTCATTTATTTCAGTAATGCAACTTAAAAGGTGAAACTAATATATGAGATAGACTCATTACATGCAAAGCAAGATAGTTCAAGCTGTGATTTGTCATAATTGTGATGATTATCTTCCAAACTATAGAAGTTAAACTAACAGGTCTATAATTACTTGGTAAAGATTTTGACTCCTTTTTGAAATGTTGGCACCACATTGGCCTTACGCCAATCCAGTGGTACTATTCCAGTCATTAAAGAGTCCCTAAAAATGAGAAACAATGGCTTTGAAATGACAGAGCTCAATTCTTTAAGGACCCGTGGGTGTATGCCATCCAGTCCAGGTGCTTTATTCACCTTTATTCTGTCTAAATATTTCTGGATCATATCTATAGTGAGCCTTTGTATTTTATGAATGAGTTCACATAATATAAAGCGCTGTGTGATTGGGCAGGTGGAGGGGAGGGACAGGCACAGGGCTGTATGCAAATCTGCAGCTGTAGTAGCTGAGAACAGGAGGTCCAGTGCCAGAACACCAGAAGTATACCAATAGCCAGCCATGTCCATGATGCTCAGTGTGCAAAGTTTAGTTGCAGTTGTTGATGCTTTTTGAGGATCTCATACAAATCTAGTGAACCTGCATCTATTACCAAACTATTTAGGGTGATGATGCCAGGCAGGTGGCAGCTATTTTACATGTAACAGACTATATTGTAGGTTTAGTATCCCATTTAGGTATCCCCTTGACTGTTTTTTCCCATGTGTCAAACATCCTGGGTAATAACCCCTGCTTGTTTCCTATAGTGACTATATGGACCAACTTCCACAGCAGATTTTGGTAATGTTTAGTCATAGAGTTGTATGTCTGTTTAAATGACATCATCCTTCATTGTATATTGTAGCAAATGTATGCCAGCGGTAAAGTGTTGGCAATGTAAAACATTGCCTTTCATGCTGAAAATATATGAATTCCATCTTATCAAATTAAATCTTGATAAAGCAGAGTATCTATGCGTGTCTCTACTTTACTAAGTATTTCCTCATTTGTTTATAGAATGCATTTCTTTGCAATGTGAATATTCACTGAGCATAGTATATCAGTCGAATCTGTGCTCATTTATATACCCAATCATGACCAAGGGAAATAAACAGGATTTTTAGCTTGCACATGAAATTAATACAGTTTCATCATATTTGCTAAACTCAGTAAAAATGAATTTTGCTACAAGAACAGTTCTTACCATTTAAGTATTTCCACCCCAGAGTAATATGCTTTTGTCTTATGTTTTTTTAGTGCTTTAATTGGCTTAGCTATGGATTTCTAGAATATAACCAATGTTAGGTCACTAAAGGTTTACAACTATGCCATTTTTCCCAATAATTTCTAATATTTAG